AAGCAAGGACAAAGAAAAGAATGTTGGTGGGGGATGCCCCTCCAGGGAACCCTATCCCCCTTTTTGCTTCGGATCGGCTCGGATGGGTGGTTCAGACCGTCTCTCGGCGTCTCCCAAAAATACTGAGGACTACTGCGTAGAAAGGACACTCGGCCTCGGGATTCAATTCGTTCGATGCTTGCGCCGGTCAGAAGTCTGTTGTTGTTTTTTTTGTTCTCCGCGCCTGTCATGATCTTGAGTCTCTACCGCTGCTCCTCTCTCTGTCCTCGTCTTGATTTCCGAAGTCTTCTTGTTCATCCCCTCGAACACATACGAATCTCATACCCAAGAAAAAAAAAACTAACACGCAATGTCTGATTTTGGTCTCTCTCTCTCCCTTGTCATTATTACCATTAATTCTATACATCAACAACCTTTGTTCTTCTCTTCTTCTTCCTCTCGTACTTGAATATTTTATCTATTTCATGCCCTTTCTTTTGTTCTTTCCTTTCATCTCAGATCGGGATGCGCTTTCTTCTTCTTTTTTTTATGGGTTTTATTGTCATGAACTTGCAAGGATTGGTATTTCCTCTTATTTTATAGGACTGATAGGATAATTGATCACTACAACAACACCCTTCCTTTTTTCCATCTGTCACTCTCATTCCATCTCTTTGGTTTCATTAAGGGGAGTAAATTTACTCGTGGAATTTGATTCTGATGATGGACGGCTAAAATCACTAGGTGGAAACAAAAACAAAAAAGGTTATGTTGGTCTCCAGCTGATTGCATCATTTGAATTTGAGAGCATAAACACCTGCGAAATGGGCAAATGTTAAAGTTATGTGGTTGGGCCTTGTGTTGCAGAGTAAGTTATGTAGGAGTCTTGAGTGGTCATCGAACCCGATCTGTTTCGGATCCCAGCCAACCCTACTTATAATCCAAATGTGTTCGTAAGATAAACGAAGTACATAGATAATCTCTGACTTGATTAAAGTCCCTCGCCGTCCCGCAGGGTCCCTGAATCACTCCCAGTTTCATCCCCCGGCAAGCCATCGGATGAAACTGCCAGGCTAAGTTTAAAGATAATCTGCTCGGCCCATGAAAAGGACTGCGCAAGGCATTGCGAGATCTTCGTCACCGCTAGATAGGGGTAACTCTCGATAGAGACGCCCCACAATCCGCCGGCTTTCTGGAAGGATTCCCGAGACAAAAGATTAAAGCAAACGATCAACCTGTCAATTGACATCACAAATTCGTATCTCTTTGATGAAGTGCCATCTGCTTTGTGGCGTACTACTTTGCCGCCTGGATTTCAGGGCATTGGGCCGGCCGGGGTTTCGGCTTGGAATAGACCAGTTGCAGCCTTGGATTGAAGAAGCATTGAACGTTGGCAGCAGTGGAAATCGCAAGCATCCGCTGGAGAACGAGTATATCCTGCAGCAACCACATCCATCGGCGGTTCCAGTAAATCGACATGGTGAGTCAAACATACTTCAGTACGCAATCCTTAATTAATTGGGGTCTGTGTCTAATTCAAGCTGGTCTCCATTCTTTATCAGTCGGCCCTCTTCAAGCTTCATCCATCGAAAACTCAGAGAAAAGACACAAGGCAGAACTTCTTGGGTCAGATGGATCATGCCCGACATCTGACATTTCAAGAGATCATTTCGAGTCAAATTTCAGCCACACATTGGATAAGAACTTAGAAGGTTAAACATTTTTTTTTCCTTTCAAAGATAATGTTAACACCTGTTTGTCTAATTCTCATGTGCAAAATTGGATGCTGAAATAAATGAATTCCCAAATCCCACCCATGTTAGCAATGGTAGCCCTGGATGATCATCAAGGACAGCTTTATCATCAGCCAAGTGACCCAACTAGGCAAAGATCATCCAGCTCTCTTTTACCCCTGCCGGCCTATGATCAGCCACTGTTTGGAATACCTGACTTCCATGAGGATCTTCTACCTTTACCATCTGCATCAAATTGGCAAGGTAAGAGACTCCTTTTCCTTTGAAAGATAATACAGAAACCTACCACAAGGATATCTTTGCCTTGTGATGTGAAAGCTTTGAATGCTGAGACAAGTGGAATCTCCAATTTTACAACATGTCATTGGTGGGAATGGAAGACCAGGTCCATCAAGGAAGCTTTTATCATGAAGCAGATGACTTTTTCACACTGCAAGGCCCAACTGGTGCGCTTTTGCCACTCCCAACCTCTGATCAGCCACTGTTTGGGATATCTGAAAGCCTTGTCGAAGAGTTTACAAATTTACCATCTGCATCAAATTGGCTAGGTGAGCATATCCACTTTATTTCAAACATCATAGCAATATCCCAATCTCACTCATTTTGGGAATGGAAGATATGGACCATGATCAAGGAAGAAATTATCATCAGACAAGTTACCCAGCTGAGGAAGGATCAACAAGTTCTGTTTTACCCATCCCCACCTCTGATGAGCAGCTACCTCTTGTAATTTCTGGAAACCTTGAAGAAGAATATCCAACTTTACCATCTGCATCAAATTGGCTAGGTTAGGAAACTAATTTTCTTTCAAAAACAGTCTTCCAACCTATGTGGAAAACCCTTTTGTCTTGAAGGCTGACATAGATGCAATCCCCAATCTTATTCATGTTGGAAATGGAAGACACAGAACAGCAAGGACACCCTCATCATGACAAAGACAATTTCCCCAATAGTGATGAATTAAAAAGATCACTTTTAACACACTCAACCTCTGATCACCCACTATTTGGAAAACCTGGAATGCTTGATAGATATTTTCCAAATTTACCATCTGCATCAAGTTATTTTCATGAATCTGTACTACAGGAAAACAATATATTGCAAAAAAGCAGCAAATGCCTTGGGGAACTAGGAAATTGTAGCATGCATGTTCAAAATTCACCAGGACTGCTTGAACCCTTTGAATCTTCTCCATGTCCAAAATCTGGCAATCCAAATCAACTGATAGCAACAAATCTTCAGAAGAGTTCATCTCATCCAGAAGGGGTTCCAGACCATCATGATTCTTAGGAAGATGGAAATTTAGAATTTGTTTTTTCAATTGGGTCATTATCAAAAAGAAGAGCTGATTGGATGGAAGAGATGGAACAACTAAGAATATCTGGAGGTAATTTTTTGATTTCTGGAGAATGAATACTGTACCTGAAAGGATGATAGATACAGAGCTCTTGGAAGGACACTTGAGCAAATTTTCAGAACACATGAGAACTACATCTAAAAGAGTTCAAGACCTTCAGAAAAATTGGCACACTTATGCAATGAAGGATTATCCTGCTTTAAGAATTCCTCTATCAGGAACAGATGATTTCTTCATCAGGGTTATTGGTGACAAAAGGAAATCAACTCAAACCCGATATTATCAAATATCTAATTTCAAAAATATCATGAAGTCCCTTATCCTCATCAACAATGCTGTATCAAGACAATTCAATCCAGCTGATGCAGAAATGAATGAAGTATCATCAAACACACAGCTGTTGAATTGGTTGTTCGATCAATCATTCATACCCAAGAATAGTTTCCCTGTTTTTGGAACATTTCCAAAAGATCACATTTTGAAGCCAGGAGAAGAGTTTGGATTAGTTCAAAAGATTTTACTTGATCAAATATCAAAGAGTAAATCTAATGAGTATTCTTTTGAGGCTTCCATATTAATCATCAGCTTGTGGTACATAGATTATAATCCAAAGCTATGGAAAAACATCAAAAACTACCAGGAGGGCTGCAGTCCACAAATAAGCATGATTTTATTTGTTGGCAGATTCATTTTTTCAGGGATCAATTTCAACCAAAATAATGAGGAATTTAAAGATTTTCATGTCTTGGGCACCAATATCCCAGGTAATTTGAAAGAACCAGAGTTAAGCAAATTTCCAATCACAATGAAGCCTGAAAGGTGGGATAAGAAGAATTTTGATGGATCAATAAAATCACTACATGAATTGTTCAAAATTGACCCCAGTCATTTTGACAAAAGAGTTATAAGTGTTGAAGGTCTCCCAGTCAAATTGAAGAAATTCAAAACAAAAACCAAACAAAAAGCTTGCAAATATAGGATCAGGATTGATGATTCAGTTGATCATCTTTACATAAAACGATTTATAGTCAAAGTTGAACTACTAGGTAGACATTTGCAAATATGTCACAGAGATCTGATTACCCAACTGAAATTGAGAGGCAAGAAAGTGACTGAAGATTCATTTGATTCCTTCAATAAATGGTTTGAGAATATCCTGCCTGGAAAAGAAGGAGGAAGTTTCCCGATCATTGGAGATGTAGAGAGTGGGAAAGATCAATTTGATTTCACAGACTGGGGTGAAGTTCAATCTTACCTGATCAAACAATACTTTAGTGATTCAAGTGGATACTTCAAGGTCGTATGGATTTCACTTGCCCTACTTGAGTATTGGTACAAATGCTTTCAGAACCCTGAATACTTCTTCCAAACTGATAATGAATACTGGAATATTATGATTAAATCTTTGGGGAAAAAAATGTCTATTTCAGGTCGCTATTCTTTGAAAAATTTTGACGAGAAAGGTTTCTATTCACCTTATGGCTTCAGAAGGCGAAATCGATTCGACTAGGAATTAATCGATTCAAAAAGTTGCAAATTTCATAGTGAGGATTCATTTCCAGATCGCTTGCAACTCAAGTGGAAGACCTACTAAATGATCGCATCACACATTAAAAAATGAAGGCAAAAGAAAACAAAACTTGGAAGGTTTTTGTGAGCCAGAAAATTGGGATTTTTCTTCCTCGTTACATTGCTTTATCCTCGAGTCACTGGATAGAAATATGTCATAAATGATGCTTGTTCAATGATACATTGTGACTGAAATATATGCATATCATTGTTAGCATTGTTTGAGTTCAAATTGTACATAATCGAAATGTGCTCGTAAAACAATTCTTAACCGCAGAAAGTCTACTCGTCCACACTAGAATGGACTGCGTCCAACACGCCTCGGATAATGAAAAATTGACCTGTATTACAATATGGGAGTGTGACAAAATTGTGATGATGAAAGCATTGCAACATCTTAAGGAATCAAAACTTGTTGCGATTCACCGCTAGATACGTGCATGTGGAGCTGTCGGTGGAGGCCCCTTAGATCCCGGCCCTTCTGGTATACATATCTGAGACATTAGGCGAACGTTCAGCCAACTATCAGCGCAAATTGCTATCTCTTTCATGATGGGCCTTCTGCTCTTTGGCGTACTTTTCTACCTGAATTTTGGGGCATTGGGTCGACCAGGGTTATGGCTCGGGGAAGGCTATGATCAGTTCCAGCCTTGGGTTGAAGATGGTTTGAACGTTGGTGGTAATCGCAAGCGTCCACTGGAGAACGAGCATATTCTACAGCAACCACATTCATTCACCATTCCAAATTACGCACAAGGTGAGTCAAGCACAAGTCCGTAATGCTTTTGAATCTGTCTCCAATTCAAGCTGATCTGCAACCCTTGTGAGTCGGCCCGGAAGCTTCGTCGATCGAAAACTCAGAGAAGAGGCACAAGGTAACATATTTTGGATCAGATGACTGGACACCTAGCATCTCAGGAGGTGATTTTGATTCCAACACCAGTCACACATTTCAGTATGACAACTCGAAAGGTTAGATTTTTTTATTTATTTGGAGCATCAAATCATTACCTACCAGGGTAACCGGTTTGTCTTGACATGTGAAAAATTGAATTCTGAAATAAACAAAATTCTCGATCTCAATATCTTGGGAACCGTAGCCCCTGCAGCATCAACAAGTACAAATTAATCATCAGGCAAGTCACCCGGCTAAGGAAAGGTCAACAAGCTCTCTCTTACCACTCCCAAAATATGATCAGCCACTGTTTGGAATACCTGAAATCTATCAAGATGATTTTCCAACTTTGCCATCTGCATCAAATTGTCAAGGTTAGAGCATCCATTTTCTTCTATTGATAATATCAAAACCTACTGGGAGAGCTTTCTTGCATTTCTATGTGCAGAACAGAATTCTGAAAACAATGACCCCCCCCACCCCCCAATCTAACTCATGTTGAGAATAGTAGGCCTGCATCATGAGAGGAAAACCTTTAATTTAGCAAGTTACCCAGCTAGGGAAGAATCAAAAAGCTCTCTTTTACCGCTCCCAACCTATGATCAGCCACTGTTTGGAATTCCTGCAATTGCTCAAGAGGATCTCCTAAATTTAGCATTTGCATCAAATTTTCAAGGTTAGACTAGAATCTGTTTTTTTTTCAGATAACATGAAAATTTACCAGTGAAACATGTTGGTCTTGTTGTGGGAAAGATGGAATGCTGACATAAATAGAATCCCCTGTCTAGTCAATTGTGTGGTGAATTGAAGACCTGGATAATCAAGGCCACATTTATAATCTGGAAAATTATCCCAATCAAGATGGGTCCACAAACTCACATTTGACATTCACAAAATTTAATCAAGCACATCTTGGAATTCCTGAAAGCCATCATGAGGATTTTCTCAATTTTCCATCTGCATCAAATTGGCAAGGTAAGAAACTTCCATTTTAACTTAACTACATCATCACCCCCTCCCCCCTCCCCCCCAGATATACCTCTTTACCTTCTGTTTACACCATAGAATGCTGAAATATATCTAATTCCTAATCTCATTCATTTTTGGAGGAGTAGAATTGGATAACCAAATACATCCATGTCATCACAAAAATTCCTCAAGTAAGGACATATTTGCAAGCTCTCTTGTATCCCACTCAACCTCAGTGCAGCCACTTTCTGAGATACCTGA